GGGCGGGGGTGGGGAGTCAGGTCCTCGGGTTCTTCCCCCAAAACAGCAGCAGCATCTTCATTGTGTTAAACACAGATATATATTTTTAATCCTCTCAAATATGTATTTACTCACACCTGGTTACAACGCTTTAGTGATTATAACATCATAACCAATATAAAAATACAAAAACAATGAAAGGAAACATAAAAAAAACATAAACTTGTTACATCTGGGGTTGCATGCCATCACCTCATTATTTATCATTAAATGTAATTAAAATACATTTTTGCCATTAAAAAGAGCAGGGTTGTCATCACAAGGGTGTGTTTGAATGTAAAACAGTGTCTGTTTTTATGGGACTGTTTGGTAAAAGTGGAACAAAAATGAACAAAAACTGTTGAGTCCATGAATCAAAAATGATGCCGTTTGATATTTTCCATGTGCATATTGTTCACTCTTCAGCTTATGCAGGCAGCGTGTGGAAATAAATATAATCATAATAATATTAATAAATATGCATATAAGATGCAAAAAAGAAAAAAAAAACAAAGAAGAAAAGAGCAAACATACAGTAGTTCTTCATTCAACATTGGGTAAGCTGATTGGGAAGCAAGGACAAGATAACTGTATCCCAAGAAGTACAAAAGCAGTGATATGACAGTGGTCTTTAAAAATGCTAAATATCAAGCTTCAGTTGAAACACAGTGGCTAATGCAATCAACTGCTATTAAAAAATGGAGAGGAGAAACATTCCCATTTGTGTATTCCACATGAGGGTAGTGTTTCAGATTCTGGATGTTTATTCAGCACCCTTTATTCTGTCAAGGGTGCTCAGTTTGGCAAGAAATAGAGCTACACGCAATACAAACCCATGCTGAGAAAAATAACCACCCCCACCCCCTTCCCTTACCACCACCATCTCTCCCTCTTCCCTCTTTACATGGGTTGCATGAGCTCGGGCACAGAGCGGATCTGGAAGACCTTGGACTGGTACAGTAAACATCAGAAGGAGAGAAATTTCATTCTGCTTTTGGCCGCTTGACATTGTGTGTATGTTTTTTTAAAATTATTTTTATTTTTTATATAAAAATAACCTTGCGGCACATCATGTTTTGTTGCTACCGCTCCCCTAAAACACACAGAATCATCCTGAGGTATTTTACTAGATATAATTTGGCTTTGTCAATCCAATCAAACAAGCAAATCAAACCAGTAACAATGGTTTCATTAACATTTTTTAGTGCACATTTTCATGCTACAAAAAAAGGTGCTTTTGGGGCACAAGCTGAAATGAAAGCATTTGCATGTATGCCTTTTCTGTTGAGCAATATCAAAATAAATAAACACAAATAAAACACAAAAACAATCAGATTTTGGACTAAATTTTTTAGTTGAAATTTCAAGCTTGCCCAATTTCTTCCATGCAAAAACAACCACCTGGTCCACACAGATGGATATGCAAATTATGAGTAAAACATAGTGGAGCTTCCTTTATTGCACCCAGTTAGTCCTGACTAACATAACCCACAGAGTACCACCCATACCACCCACCCTCCACCCATAAAAGAAAAAAAAAAGAGGTAAATAAGAAATCCATCTCAATTAGTGTTCACAAATTTAGGAGTCAGGTTTAACTCTAAAACAAATAGTAGATAATCCACTTTCAAAGCCCCTGGGCAAACTAACCAAGGTTTAACTGTGCCTAAACATAAAAAAACATATTCTAGTACTGTACACATTGTTGATGTCTCATGTTGATGGACAAAACTGTGAAAAAAAGGAATTGTCAATGTTTTTTATTTTTCTTTTTAAATATATAAATTATTACCCTGTTTCTCAGTGGCATGAAAGTCAAAAGACAAAACCACACCTCAGATGAGATGACAGAAGAAAAAATGTCATTTTTTTTTCTTTCCCTTAATTTTTGTTGTCATATTTACTTTCTTATCCACCACCCTTTACTTGCTCAGCCACATTGTGACAGTTCAAGAATCAGCTGTTTGGATTGTATAAATATCCACCAAACGCATATGGCAAGACACAGCCCCTTTAAAAATATGGTAAATATGTGTCTTGACAATCTATTTGTGTAAATATTMTCTTCTCTGATAGAAAAAAATCAATACATGCAAAATGATCAACTGCTTTTGATGGTATTCTTTTAGTAAGCTATGCTTCTTTCAAAAGGAAATGTGGGAGAAAGGTTTTCAACTAATGGCTACTGTGCTACAAAATAAGCAAACACTAAAATCTTACATAGAGGGATCCAAATGCCAGAATCCCTTATAATCTTATATCTCAGTAGAATATAAAAAATAACACTTTGCTATTATTTTTCTATGTGCAGCGCCTTGAATGAAATGCCCGTCAACTGCCTTAGGTTTTCCTGCTTGTCTTTTTCTTTTCTTACAAGTCATCTTGACAGTCTGTCTTCCTTCAGTTTGTAAACAAAATTTATTGATACATTAATTTCATCTTTCCATTTTTGTGTTGTTGCTAGCTTGGAATTGAAACACAACAACACATTCTAATTAAACTGGAACATTTACTGGCTCATCTGGTATGTCATTTATCCACTCAGCCTATGTTCCCTTTACTCTTTCCTTCTTTACTGCCAAATGCCTTAGCAGCCACATATGACTAAAAGGAGCAGACCAATGGACTAGCTCAGYGTGACACCCCTGTCCTCCTGGGATAACTTTTTGTCTGCCTTGCCCATCTGGTCTCTCTGTCAGACCCGATCTCTTCAACTGGTGAAGTCCAAGCTTGACAGTAGAGTTGGAAAGGCAAAGGGGTAAAAAAAAAGGTGAGTGGTTAGAGAAGCTAGCTCCTTTTTTTCCTGCTTCTTTTAATTCCCTTGTCATGTAATTATTGCCACCCTCAACAACCTTTCTATACATTTCCAGCCAATATCCACATTCCAATCCAAGAACACTTCTATATCTGTCCCTTTTAAAAACCCAGGGATCTTATGATCCCTACCTTTCTTTACACTTGGATACCTTATCGCAAACTGCTGGCAAAGGAGCCAACTCATTGGTACATGGGAGAGCATGGACAGAAATGATGAGGTCATCTGTAAATAGAGTGGTAGTAATGACATTAGACCCAAGTGGGCATAAGTTTTTTTTGTTTGTTTGKTTTTTTTATGACAATGCTGAAGAGAAGAAAAWTGTTGTCTGGCTATGGCATCCCATAGTAGATAACATACTTGATAAATTATAATACAAACCCAGAGAGGAGTAAGAAGGGCAAAACACATTTCTTACATAAATTAAACATCTGACTCCAGACTGGGAATTTTCTTATACACCCGTCTATTGCTAAACTGGGCTGAGTTTAGGACACCCCGTGAGGCTGGGTATGCACTAGTCTTATTGGCTGAGTAAGGCATCACATGCTCTTTATTGTACATGTCATTAGCTATCCGCCCATCCCTTGAACAGTATGAAGAGCTGGATTTACCGGAAGAGCGGAGATTGTTCGCATCGTTACGCGTTTTGATGGGAGCTGCTCCTAGGGCCACYGCAGGAGAACCTACTGCCAACTGTTTGTAAATGTCAGAGGAGCTGCGCCCATGGACCAGTCTGCTGCTGGTATCATCCCTCAACGAGTGGCTAAGAAAAGGGTTTTCTGAGCCATGGGCTGGATACAGGGACTTGCTCCTTTTGCTTTCCTCCAGGTTATGGTTAAACAGCATTGATTTAGACCCCGTGCCAAAAAGTTTGCCAGAGTAAGGACGCATGCCAAAAAGGTTCGCATAGTGCGAGTCAGATGCTGAGTCCAAGAAGCGATCCTTCTCTTTGAGACTGACACTACGTGCTGGTCGGCCCAGGTCAAGGTCCTTGGGCTTTTCTAGCATGATGTTGTCAAAAGAGTGCTGACGACTTAGCCTCAAGCGGTTTCTCTTTTGAACATGTGGCCCATCTGTCTGAGGCCAATAAAGACCAAACATTTCATCTGGCTGCTGCTCTTGGTGATGCATGTTGGGACTGCCCAAGGGGTCAGCAAGAAGCTGGTCCTCACTAATGTCATACAGGTTGGCTGTGTGGAGGCATGCCTCACAACGATTATATGGGGAACGGGTGCCAGATGCCGAGGCAGATCCAGCTGAGCCATATGGTCCTGCTGGTGGGTAGCTAGCAGTCACTTTGGACAAGCAGGAGCGGCAGTGTGTCTGTTTGTAGCGATCAATAGTTTCATGAGGGGACAGGGAGATATTTTTCTCTTTCAAGTTGTAGTGTTTAGAGTAAGCTGAATCAGAGAGAAGATCTGAGTCCGTGTGATGCATAGGCGAAGAATTCAAGTGAATGATGGGTTGCTCACATTTCCTGTAGTTATCGCTGTGGTCGGAGTAAATTTCAGGGTAATCAACATCGTCTGCAGCAAGGCCGTGACTTTCACGGAAGTGAATGGGGTCTGAATGAAGGCTTAGCTCTCTATCTGAGTCAATAGTGTAGATTTTCTCCCCTACTCCTCCTCCTCTCCCACTTTGGTTAGTTCCACCACTGACCTGCTTAGTTTTCAAGTAGGACAGCTCTACTTCACTGCAATCCCTTGGGTATTTTGACGTCACAGATCTTTTTTTTAAGTTGTCCTTGGGTTTCAGGTGCTTGTTGTTTTCTGGGTCCTTGTAGGAGGCTGCTCTGCTTGAACAGTCAGAGATGTCAGAGTGGGCTGTGTCCTCAGGAAGGTAGCGCTGCGTCTTCATTGATATTCGTGGGTCTGGCATCAGCATGTCAGGCATTGGAGCAGGACCAGGTGGCACAGAGCGAAGCGTGTCCCCTGATTTCTTCCACAGTGACCGAGGTGGTTTGGCGTTGGTCTGGACTGTGTCAGGACTCACAGATACCTCCACTGTATTTGGATTGGCATCATTTAAGGTCAAAGGATGCTGCCCCCCCTGAAAAATGTAGTTGTTAAGGTGATCTTTGTGGCGGTTGGCAAGATAAGACTGAAGGTCACCAGTGTCCCCATATATCATATCTTTGGGAGCATAGCTTCTGTTGTCAGTGTAGATGAAGTTGCCCTTCTCTGCCATCATGTCCATGATCATGGGGCCAGCAGAGTGCATAAATTCTCGTTTAGGTGAGTTCAAGCCAGAGCCACCCAGGTTAGACATGTTTGTCATCTGCTTGGCAGACTTAATGAGCTTAAGCATTTTGTCCTGAGGGCTGAAGTCAAGATCAGTCTTTTTCTTCATGTCAATGTGGACTCCGTGGATGCAGCTCCAAATTCCCTGTATAATTCATATGGGTGACCAAGGAAAAAGGTGAGGGAAGGTATTCAGACATAGGATATAATGGAAAAAAGAAAAATGAAGCATGTAAAAAAGGATAAACAAGAATGGAGGAAAAGAGAAAAACAGTATTGTTACATTCTTGTTTTAGCTTTATTTTTCTGTACACTATAAGATCCATTAAAATGAAATAAACCTGTCAGGGACACAGCAAATCATTAGCGGTGCACCGATAAATAGATCGGCCAATTTATTGGCCCCGATTTCCTTAATTTTGGGTGACTGACAATCTTTACATGAGAAGCTGATCTTATCCACCATCCCTCTGTCTCTGAAAAGGTCTGAATATGAGCCATTGTCTACTTTTGCTCTGCTGTGAGAGAGGGCTGACCAGTTTAAACTGTTTTTTTTTTTTTCATAAAATTGGATTAGAACATTGAAGGTGTACTGTGACCTTATAACACCTGACGTCAATTATATATATATATATACATGTATAAAGAATTAGGCAAAATTTGATTTGGAAGGTCAGGCTTTTTAAAGATCGGGGATCGGCCAAAAAACTGCATTCAGTGCACCACTACAAATCATACAGAACCACATTTTACCATTGCATTAAATGGGAAAATATTTCATTTCATTTGAAACACACTTGTTCTGTTTACAGAAAAAATAAAAATAAATAAATAAAAAAAATCCTTGAAGTTTTTTAAGCTTTGAAAAAGAGAAGTCCTCTGGAATAAAGATGCCACACTTATTAAATGTTTTTGCTAAATCTTTTTTCCTCATTTAATGTCAGTCAGATTAAGATTGTGTTGTTCCGCCCCATACCTACTTAACAAGTAACCAGTACTATTCAACATCTGTATATTTTTGGTCATTGTCTGCTTAAACAGTTTGTCTTGAAAAACTCAGACATTTGTGACTTTTGGGGAAAAACATTTGCTTATCTCCCCAGAATTACATCTCAGGTCTTTATCCACTTCACAAATAATTAGATTTATTCTTTTGACAACTCATGTAATACTTTCTTACCACAGTTCACCGAGCCTCCCCTGGAAATGTTTGGATTCCCCCAAGGGGAGGCCTGCTTTGCATAAATAGAGCTTTCAGTCTGCAGGAAACTTGTCATGTTCTTAAAAGCGATGGAGGCAAGCCCTGCTTTTTGGTGTCTGCATTTCAGTCTATAAAAATCAATGACTTCATTTGACTTTGTAGATCTTACGTTAGAATAGGAACTTTTTGAGGAAGAATGGAACCTTCTTTAATGCAGTTGTACATTAAATGTTCAAAATGATGCAGGCGTGCAATAATTAGGACAACTGGATAAAACAGTGCTTGGTGATTAGTTGAACATAATGAACACACCTAAAATCGTYATTAGAAATAACATAAAATTAATAAAAAAGGTGGACAATTTTTAAGGTTTAACAAAATTTAGAAAAATGGAGCTACATGGAAGTCTGTGGTTTATTGAGTCTATACTTCATGGAAAACTATGTGATCATGACTTGCATGCCTTGTTACTAATGGCCAATATGTCACCTCAACTTTTATTGGCCTTGCAAGTGCATACAGAACAAAACAGCCTTTAGATTTACTTGATCGGGCTTTAAATGCTTTTTGAATGCTTTATCTGCTAAACAACCATGCATTTTAGTCAGAACAAAGAACAGTCATTAAATTAAATTTAATTACTTCAGCTCACATTTTAAAGCTACAAAAGACTCAGAACAGTTTAAAAGCATCAGCAGTTACAGGGATTAGACAATGAAACAGAAACACCTGGTTTTAGATCATAACATCCCTTTCAGAGAGCTTCCTCTTGCGTCCACAGTTAATCMTGTTGGATGTGGTTCGTCCTTCTTGATGGCATGCTGACATTACCCTGGATACTCTTCATTCATCACAAAAACTTGCTTTCTTGGTCACAGATGCTCCAGTAAGATTTGCACCAACAATTTGTCCTCTTTTGAACTCTGATATGTCACACATAATGTTGTGTGCATTGCAATATTTTGAGCAAAACTGTGCTCTTACCCTGCAAGTTGAACCTTCACTCTCTGCTCTTACTGGTGCAATGTGCAATTAATGAAGATTGGCCACCAGGCTGGTCCAGTTTAGCCATGAAACCTCCCACACTAAAATGGTAGGTGTTTCAGTTTCATTGTCTAACCCCTGTATATCTCAACAAAAAGAAAAAGTTGTTYACAAAATTGGGAGACAAAGTATATTGCAATGAAAATTGTATCTCCACTGATTTTACTGTGTTAAAGCATTTTACAACTAAAGATGGGATTTTAACATGTGCTAATAAAGGAAAAGAAAAAATGCTGATGGATACATATGTACATTTCATTATCATTTTATTTTAACTCTATCAATGCCAAGTGTGAAAAATCATTTTAAGGTTAGCACTATTAACAGTTATTGAAATCAGAACACTAATTTAAGAATTATCTGTTAAGCACTATCTGAACATTTGCTTGAAAAGTTTGATGAATAATGATTCATTCATCAGTGTGACTGTTTTCACAGTTTGCCAATACATGCTGAAAGATAATTWACACCATTAGAAAGTCACTTTGTAGAATTTATCAACACATTTTGTTTTGAAACCCTCTTAAAACTGTTTTAAAATGATGTGTTTTTAGGATGAACTTTTAGAAGAAACTTTGACTTGACTTTTACTTGGTAAAAGTTTTTCTTTGCTCACTTTCTCTCCCTTTGTTAATGCCTGCAAATGAAGTTCCATTGCTTCAAAAATAGTGCTGAGACACTGCAGTGCTCTCTTAGAGATGCATGTCCACGTCTTCTGTTCTCAAACACAGTGAGAAAGAATGCTGACCTTTTAGCACGAGTGGATAAATTGATTAAGTGTGGGTTGCTGCGGTTTTGTCCAAAAATATGCAGCAATTAGGGTCTATTTTTGTCAATATTCGGGACTGCCTTGTGATTGCCCAACCACCCTCCCCCTGCCTCCATTCCCATCCCTGCCTGTCATTCTCCTATGTGAAGCCCTCCCTTTTCCCACTTATTTTTAAGTCACTGTCTTAGTTTGGCATTCTCTGCATGCGTGTATGCATACTTGCGCTCCTCTCTTTCATCTGATGGAAAATAGCTGTAGCAGACCTGTTTGACCCAGATAGTGCAGCATTAGCCCCTAGTGTTGCTTTAGAGCTTCATTGCACCTTCTTGCCTTGATAATGATCACTCTTAACCTCATAAGTCTACCTCTGGGTTAGACATCCACTCAGGCAAACGTTGCATGTCTTTAAATCATTACTGAGTGTTATAGTTTGTGTTCTGATTTAAAAAAAGACATTTGCCTCATTCAAATATGCACCACAGACAAACAGGAATTCCTTACCCTGCTGATGGTGAAAAGAAGTCCAGGCCTGCCAGAGCAGACTCCAGTGAAACAATATCTGAGCCTCCAGTAGAAGAGATGCTCTGACACAAATGTGATAAGGGAGAGCCCCATGGCTGTGGCCAGCATGTAGAAGACCCCCGCCATGTTGTCCACATCCAGCTGACTTGACATAACTTCATTTTTCTCATTGTGGCAAATCCCTGTCAGCCACTGAGCTTCTAGTTCTTCCATTTCACCTAAAAATCAAAAACACAAGACAGACTCAGATTCTTAACATAAACACACTTATACTGTATTTACTTTTAGGTATTTAGCTTCGTCAAGATGTAACTACATTTTAAAAGATGTTGCCATTCTTTTACGGCACCACCATTGGTATAAAGTCTGCATTAGGTTGTTTCCAAAACCTCAAAAATGCTCTGTTGGCTCAACTTGAAATAAATTGTAGCAAGTTATCTGCAGGGCCTATTATAGAGTAAATCCAACATTTAATTTTAGGTTTGGCTAACTCAACTGGTTTAGCAAACCAACATGATTTATTTTGACCTCCCAAATCACAATTAGGTTGAAGTAACCTAATATTAATTTAGATTTCTTGGTAATATCAAGTTCACAAATTATATAAACTGAGTTACTTTACTTAGGTTTTATTACATATATTTAACTCACAAATATCCATACAATTTCCTTTTGAAGCTCATTAAGTAACTAATGTTGTACAAACTTTTAATACTTTCTATTGCTGAGTGATGACAAAAGTTTGAATGTACTCTAACATTTAAATTAAGGAGGTGACTTTTTGTTTTTGTGGTGCGCTGACTTKTACAATTGATTAGCTAACTTACTGAAACATGTACATGTAGACGTCCAAGAAACTTAGTTTTTTRATGCTAAAAATGCTTTTATGTTACGTTCTCCCAACAAACACCATGAAAACATTTTACATTGCATGGCCTTGTTGCTGTCGTATGTGATGTATGAGGCTAGTTAACATACTGTATAAGGCTAGCATGGACATTTTGCCACTATGATGACAACCATTGTGACCTCATTATGAGAGTTTGGAGCGGGGCTGAGCCAGATGGTGGCAATGGCCACATAGAAAAATGTTTTGCCACCCAAACCCCTGCTTTGCCTTGAAAAGTTTTGGCAGTTATTTCTATGCAGAATATTAATTTCATTCATTGCACTGCTCAAATAGGTAGTTCTCATGAGGGCAGTCTGCATGGTAGTCATTGCCCATGTCRGTAAATGAGTGAATGAMCAAGAAACACAAYTAGATCCTCAGCAAATTGCCATGTAAGAAAAAGAAAATTGTAATTTTCTGGGCCATAAAAATTGTCTGGCTCCACTACTGGTTTGRTGTATACTCATGGATCTAGCACACTCTACCATGAATAATGGAGAGCCCACTTTAAAATGTGCCAGGATCCTATAAAGTTTTCCACATTCTGGCTGACATTTTTTCATCATAGCTTGGTCATCAGTGTGTGAAGTGGGCCTAGGACAGATAACTTTTCTGCATGGTAAAAAAAAACAAACAAATTTATGTCCATATTGACATGCAGCGAGTCAGTGTGTCCAAACCATTTATCTGCTAACATACATCTTAGAGCTCTGAGCAAAAAATGAAACTTACACATTTTTTCAAGCTATTATAAACTGGTGCATCAATGGAATGGCTCACTCAGATTAAGCTCTGTACCTATGTGGCCAATACAAACATAATGAGGATGACATACTTTTTCTATTTGTGAAACTACAAAAAAAGCCTTTCTCATTTATTTCTTTTCATAATGTCAACTTTTCACCCTTGCTTTACATACATTTTCTTTAAAATGTGCTTTAAAGCACGCTTTGTAATGTTATATGTATTTTTGATTAAGTTACATTTAAGCTTTCCCAGTTTTTTGTCTTACCCTCTTCTCTGTAGCTAAAAAGGGCTGGTTAAAACGTGGTGAAAAGCAATAAAAACCTTATCTTTTCTCATTCCTCACTGTGTGCGCCCTTCCTTCTGTCTCCCCTCCCACTCTGGCTTTTTCTGTGACATTTGGCGTGTGGCTAATCCAATCTGTGTCATTCAGGGCCTGATAACTAAGGCTGCTAGTGGGGAAAGACAAATACCATGGTGGTGCTTAGTTTGATGTCTTTGGGTGCAAAATTTATAAGACATCATTAACCCTTCGAAACAACTGAGAAGCATTTGTCTCTTGTAACATTTTGGAATTCACAAAAGGACGTAGCCAAAGGACGTGTTTTAATCATATCATGTCATGCTCTGTAATAAGATGAATCGTGTGGTATTAACAAGTCTGTCATTCTCTTCCTTTTAAATTAAGTGAATCTAAAGAAAAAAAACAGTCAGGACCCGTTTTACCGTTGCCAAATCTTCAGCATGAAGTAGTGCTGATATTTTGTTTTCTTTTTCTTAAAAGAAGTTTTTGGATCCACTGAATTAGGGTTATGTGGAAAGGTTCATCCAATCTGTTGTAAATACTGTTTTGAATGACTACAGTTTGGAGATTTTGCGTTGTTATTCCAGCAGTAATATGATATAATATAATCTGATATTCCTGCTTTAAGTGCCAAGACTGCACTTCCAGTGCCACAGCTTGTATCTATATTTTGTACGCCTCATAAAAGTATGACGCACAAACTGTTATTAGCTGATATTTACATTTGGCAAAAAGTTTTGTATGAAAGAGTAGCAGGGGCACACATCTGGTATGTTTCTGTTCTGTACTGTTTTCACAGGTAAAAAGAACAGAATGGGACATTTTTTTCCGATTATTTATTCTATCTCCGTTTAGGAGGGAGACGGAATAAATAATGAGTTAAGTCTTTTGAAAAACATCTTGAACTGTGTCTCATTTTAGTTCATAAAATGCCATGTTTTCCTCATCCACTGTGCCTATCTGATCAGGTAGCATCTGCCAAAATACTGAGAGTGTATCATCTATCAAGAACCTGCCCTCCTCTCGTTATTTTCTCTTTTTTCCCCACTCTCTCCCCACTCTGTTTTTGCCCCATCTCTAGCTATCGCACACACAAACCGTCACTTTCCTGATGGTGTAATCGCTTTTTCACGTTCGCTTTATCAAATTTGTCCTAATCTCATTGTCATTTTTTTACTTATTCATTCCCATCTTTGTGGCTTTTATTTTTGTTTACAAGTTGAGCAATGCTGAAGTTACTGGTGTGATACAGATTTAAAACATTCCCAGTAAATATTGAGACAGAACAACTGCTTGAAAAGCAGGGAGACAATGACTGTGATTATTAATGGGGGGACATAAAAAGCAAAAAAAAAAAAAAAATCTGTGACAGTTTTCAGAATTATCCATAGGGTGTTGTATGTAGACTTTGATAAGAAGCCCCTGATAAAATAGATTTAGATGAGACTATTGCCACACCAGTGTTCATTTAATCTACTTTAATGCATTTCATGCTACTGGCTGTGGATGCACACACAGACAAAAACACTTCTGTTGTAAAATGTAAATGAATCTGTCTCTAAACGCTTTTACTGTCTTCCTTTCTTAGATTTGTAATACCAACTGTTTGTGTAAAAACCTCAGAGGCTACTGTAATAAAGGAAAGCTATGATTCAGCTGTAGTACAGACACACACACACATGCATGTCTGGTTTTAACAGAATGACATTAGTCCTATTTTTAGAGCAGCTGTTGTTTCAAATAAAGTACTTCTCTACTTGCCATTTTTGCTGCTTAAACAGAGATGTAGAAAAATACTGCATTTGAGTGTTTACATGCTCTACAGCACGTGTCAAACTCAAGGCCTGGGGGCCAAATGCAGCCAGCCACAACATTTTATTTGGTCTGTGAGAGCCTCAAAGATATATTAACTGGATGTCTTAAAATAAGCATATGCTGCTTAAAAAGATAGATTTACTACATCTCACATATGGCATGTTGATTATTTTGCCTGCAAAATGACAGCGTTCCACACATGGTGGAATGCAAATGGTTCAAAAGTAGCTGTCAGTTGGCAAAATTTGATGAAATCTCCATTTAGCTGCATTTTCACAGACTACTTTTGCTGTGGCCCAGTTCTACTGGGAAGTGGGAAGTGTAAATTGGAATGCCCCTCCAGTGGGAATTCCCTGTCGGAAGTGGGAGAGATCAGAAATAAAAATGATGGCTACTCACCACAACTCTACAATGAAACTCTCTTATTTTTAAAACAAATAGTATTTCTGTACTATTTAGTTCACATTTAGTGAGTCGTACACATAGTACTTATCAGTATTTGTAAGGGGATGTGTTAAAATGCTGTTTCTATGCACAAAATACCACATAGAGCTCAGTTATTGTTTGTTTGCTCAGACGTAATAATAAGATGAAGAACATAACATTTTCTGTTTAGTCAAAGTTAAACATGAAACACTAAAGTTAATTACAACTGGACCCTTGAGGGCCATCATAATGCTCATGTGGCCCTCAGTGAAAATGAGTTTGGTACTTTGGCTCTACAGTGATGAACTTGAGCCTTCAACAAACTCCACCTTTTACCTCCTTTCACTCTGCAACCCGGTCCTATAATGATTCCTTGCTGTATTGGTGTAACTATAAAACTGAAGTAACATTGAGGGGTTAAAGTCAACTTGCTTCTGTTATGCCTCTGAGCTGCCAAACTAGGCAGTGACAGAGACTAAATGACTTCTACATAAAAGCGTAAGCTTATATCATGGTTCAAAGGTGTGATATAATGAAGAAAGACTTTTTGGGTGACCTCCAAACTGCAGGATGTAGAACAGCAGGTGTCCAACACACATTTTATAGGTTGTGCTTTTAGTCAACAATAACTGTGTTTCCATTGACCATGAAAATGTGCAAATTARAATTTCGAAAATAAATTAGCTCAACTGAAACACGTAAATTTCGAAAAAACACATTTTCGACAAAATGTTTTTGCGCTAGGATGAAGTGGTTTTTCGGCCATATTGAAATTGGTGTATTTCGCAAAACTGCAATGGAGACACCTTTTTCACATCACAGGAGTAACGTGATCAAGAACCGTCTGTTTCTACTGGCGAAAAAGATGATGACGAAGAAGACATCAGGAAGTAGAAGTAGTAGTGAAATTACCTATGTTGTAAAAGAAAGTAGTAAACTCACCGAATACAATTTCCCAAAAACACCGCATACATAGCCGCTGCCAAGTATGAGGGGCTTGTCGCTCGAAAGCCTAGCTAAAACGCCAACGTCTCCTCTGATGGCTGATGATGAGCACTAATGTCGTGGTAGCAATACACATTTGTTTACATCCAATGCTGCCATGTTTGTAACGACTCATCGCAAGAACAAACATATTCATGCCTGACTTTAATAGCATTTTTTTTACTTAATGGAAACACCGCAGTTGCGAAACTGTTTTTCGACATTAACAGAATATCGACAAGTTATGTGCACATTTGCAATGGAAACGCAGCTAATGAGTTACTCCATGCGTCCTATGGTTCAACAATGCTGGATTCAGTTATGAAAGTTCACATTGTGARGGACTAAACCTAGCTTAATTTGTAATTTATGAATGACTAAAGGCAGCAAATAGTGTAATGAGCTCAGAATACAGTGAAMCCCTGCAAAGTTGCCTTTCACATTTTGCAGATTTAGTCTTTTGCAGATTTTTTTTTCTCATGGAACCAAATTATTAGTAGTTTGCTGTCATCCAGTGATATCTTGGAAAATGAAAATACTGTACAGTACTGTAAAGTATGTAATTTTTTTCTTTTGTGCTTTGTTGTGAGTTTTCTAAATTCGTAAATTGTTACAAATATAATTTAATAATTTTGTAACATAAATTCAGTTCAATTCAATTCAAAAATACTTTATTGATCCCAGAGGGAAATTAGGTAGATAATAATGTAAATTCAGTTCCCAATAAAAAAAAAATCTACTGCGGGTACTCTAACAACGTAAACCCTGGGAAAATGGAGGCTTCATCGTACAAGAATGTGTGTGATTCTCACCGTCTCCGATAATTGCCAGGATTGCAAGATCCACCTGCCGCTTCCAATAGGAACCTTTCTGCAGAGCAATGCCGTAGCCAGTRGTTGCAAAGATGTATCTGAATATAAGCACAGATACAAACACTCAATGAAAAAAGCATTAGTTTTTTTTACACACTGTTCCTATATTCCAAAATGTATTTTAGGTAAGCATAAGGCTCAACATAAATTAGCAAAACGTATCACTTTCATTTTAAATAGTACTCCTTSAAGGAATGCTTAATGCCTWGCTTTGCATGCCAAAGTTTTAAATTAAGATCTCACATGATCTGTTACTGCTACTAAATGTTGAGGATGAGTCTCAGCAAAAAATACCTCAAATATGAGCTGAATTTCTGTAAATTTGACTGTTATAGCCATTTCTGTTTTATGTGCCAGATTAGCTGTGGCAACGATCTCAAACTGAAGTAACCCCTAAGGACAAATTGTTGAAGAYGTACATTTTGTTATTACTTTTTGAAAGTCTGATTAAAATATGTCCAGTAGTTTGTGAGGTATGTTGCTAACAGACAAGCAAGAACCTGTTTTCATGCTCTAAACGCACAGACACAGGCAACTACATAATTGTTCACCTTTTACAGTAGTGAAAAATAAATCGAATGATAAATATACCGCAGCGGTTATAATATGTAATTCTGCTGACTGTTGGGTCACAAACAATGTAAGTAAATAAAGCATAAAAGATTTTGGACCAAATCCTCAAGCTTTGATGTTTTTGATCAAGCTAATGTGGTTCAATGGTTAGAATTATACAAAAATCACGAAAAAAACACAACCCCCCCAACCAAATAAATAAATAAATAAATAAATGAAGATACTCTCTAACAATTAAATAAATAAAATTTGGCTTTCCAGCTAACCAGTTTTGCAAACAGTTTATTTGTGGATGTTGTTTCTGATCATGTAGAGAGTCTCAGAACTGCTGTAATAGAGGATTACTTGGGTTTCTGGCTGCTATCACTTTGTTTTCAGACAGATTTTGGTTATCAGTTGTGCAGAATGTCAACACTAACGACACACATCACTGTCCCAAAAATAAACAATTTGAGATCCAACGTGCCCGAGTAGTGCAGCCCCACGAGACTTTCTCTTTATCAATGCTTTGAATTGACAAATTGAAGCTTTAGTTACCCGCTGCCAATGGTCACCAGCTTACATCCCTCATCTCTGCCAGCCATGTAGTTTAACACTGCTGCATCATAGATGAATGCATCCAGCTTGCTGCAAAATAGGACAGATAAGAAAAGTCAAAGTGAGGAGATGAAGACAAAACTAGAAGGGTTTGTGCATTCTTTAAAAAAAMCTTGAGTTAGAGGTGCACAGGAGGAGACAGAAAGCGAAAGGGTGGATTTTCTGCCCGTTTGTCAGTTGGAGATCAATTGTGTGAAGTGTTAAATCATCCCCAGTAGGACTGCAATCCGAGCGTAACCACACACAGAGAACACAGTGGGGAATGCCGGTGGTTCAATATAGTACACTTCGTCGATGATAGGACCTCAGTGGCACACAGGGAACCTAAACAAACCTTAGACTGACACAAACATTTACACCGTCTTTCGTTCTTTCTGCCTCTGTCCGTACAGAGACTCTGAAACAAGTTCAAACAGAACAACAAAAATAAAGAAAAAAGGATCCCAGATTCAGACTGACATTTCCACTGTAACTGATACTGTAACTGGCCACTGGTCTTTCCCTATCTTAGTGGCCACATATTATGTTGAATCACACACACMACTCTTAAACATTCAGAGCCTGCTATTAGTCCGGTGACTGTCTGGCATTTACTGAATGTCAGATCCAGCCCTCTGACAGAGGCTCACAGTCGATAGTTTAGCTGTGTAATTAGCTTAACCCACCACTGGTCCATCCACACGCAAACTGTGTGTCCTAACATGGACAGCCCCCGAGTAGATATTGACAAGAGTGTATTTTTAGTCAGATGAGGGTGTGTGCTGGCTGGTCTGTGCACGTCTATAGGCAGACACAATCTCAGTCTGGGGGGCTTCAGCTACCAGACAAAACATTTTTTTACAAGTGAGAAAATGTGCAGCAGCTGATATTGCCATTATTGCTATTAAACTTTTAAATGTCAGATTTAATCATGCAAAATTAACTCTTAATTCAGTCAACTTTTTATATACAAACTTGTTAATTCCATCAACAGAAAATAAGTAGGCCTTTTCTTTCACTAGTGGCAAATATTTTTAAAGAAAATGCCATCTGCTGCTTTTCTGTAGTCAGGTCACAGAGGCAACAGGCCTAAGAGAAAAACCTGAACATCTCTCTCTCCAGCCACACTTTCCAGCTTGTCCTCGGGGACCCCGAGGCATACCCAGGCCAGAGAGGATACATAATCCCTCCAGAGAGTCCTGGGTCTTTCCTGGGGTCTCCCGACTCCCCTACACAAGAAGCTCATTTTGGTCCCTTGTATCAGGGATCTCATTCTTTTGGTCATGATCCACACCTCATGACCATAGGTGAGAGTTGGAACGTAGACAGACCAGTAGATCAAGAGCTTTAATCAACTCTTTCTTTACAATGACTGACCGAAGCAATGTCCTCCTTACTGAGAATGAAGCCCCAATCCATCGATCCATCTCCCGCTCTGTCCTACAAGTGGTGAACAAGACAGCCTGATATTTATACTCCTTCATTTGTAGCAGAGACTGCCCCCTGAATCGGAGGGGGCATTTGCCCCCACTTCACCCTATATTCCAAAGAATATGAAAAAAAAAACAGATTTTCCATTTCATARCAACCTCCAGGATCAAGTGGGTACTTGAATTCTTTCAGTATGGCTCTCAACTGGATAAAGGTGAATCATCTCTCTGCAGTTGGGGCTTGAGGATCAGCCTCAAGCAGAGAAGTTTAAAGTGTTGGTATGAAGGACAAAGGATGGACGGCAACTTTGTTCCTCTGTAATGCTGTGGTAAAAACCAAGCCGAGCTTAAAGCTAAAGCAATTAATTTGTTGGTTCATTCAACTCTTGTCTGTGATTATGAGATGTGGATCGTGACAGAAAGCACATTTCAGCGACAAATGTGCTTTTTCTGAACTGTGGTTGAGCTCAGCTTTAGTAACAGAGGAAGGAGCTCCTCAGCATCAAAAGGAATCAGCTGAGGTGTTCGGATGTCTGATAATGGTGCTTTCTAACCACCTCCTTAAGGATTTGTTGAACATGTCCCATTGTCGACATACTTAAAGGCATAATTAGAACTCGCTTGAGGCATTTTTGTTTCCTTTGGTTTAAAAACACATTAGAATCTCTGGAGGAGCTGGAGAGTGTTGTTGGGAGAGATATGTCGGTAGGGTTTCCCTATTGCACCTGTTAATTTCACAACCTGACTTTAAAAGAGTTGAGAAAAGTGGACAGATTATTGGAATTCAAGTGTAAGGAAAGTAGGAATGACTCAAGACTTTTGCACAGTACAGTACATGAGATGTCTTCTCATGTTCATTGTTGAATATTTCTCAGACATGCTTAACTTGATGTGTCTGACCTTTTTTACTCTGTCTTTTTGAAATGATGATCTGAAAAACTGAACTGACTAAAAGTCAGGGATTATGAATTATGTACTCCTACTGTATTTTTTGTATTTCATTTTTCCACTTTGATCCTTCCATATGGACCAGCATGTCCTTTGAGCGAGGACATTTTATAAGATCAAACCCCAATGTCATTAACCAGTCCAAAATATCCTCTTGCATTAGCATTTCACCAACCTTTTGTCCTTTGACTTTTCCATTTTTCTCACTCCTCTCCCATTTCTATTTTATTCCTTGATGACCTTTTTCCCTGTTCCCTTTTCACTCYCTTCATCTATCGCTTTCTTTAGCCTCTTTACACGCTCTTTGTTTTCGATGCCCTTCCTTATTTCTTTCTATTATGACTTTCCTTACTTATCTCTTTGCCTATTTATTGTGCCCTCCTCTAAATCCTTCTTTTATTTCCTTTAATGATGCTGTTCCCCCTTTAGCATMTTAGCCATGCTCTTTACTTTTGTTTACATAATACTTCCACTCCTTCTTTCTTTTGTTTTGATCATTTTTTATCTTCAATTTTCTATCCACCCAAACCCTTTTGAAGTGATCCAACCCTTCAAGCTGTCCTTGGTTRGTCTTGTGCAAACCCTCCTGCCACCTATCGCTCTTCCATACAAACGCACACACATCAGCCCCACAATGGAAACTAAAAATAGCTCCTGCTGTTCTCAGTCAGGAAGCCCATTCATCTCCAATCTCGAAGGATCTGTCACGCACATACACACACGTTTTCACATGTGCAAGACGTACAATCACACGCGTAAAAATAACACRCGAAGCTGCACATCACCCCATTGACTGACTAACTAAGCCCCCAGAGGAGAATCTTTAAACATTTATGACTAGTGTAAAAGTRCCCTTAAAAGCCTGCAAACATCTAGACTCACAGAGTGTYGCCTTACCCCGATTTAAGGCTGACAAGTGCATCCACGACTCCAGTTTGATGATACTTCACCATGTACTGGTGCATGGCAGGGTAGTTCTTCTTGATGTTCCTCTCAGTGGAACCATTTGGGACTGTTCCAAAGCGGAATGGAGGGGAGTACGCATACGGGTTCTGAAACTGCGGGGTAAACAAACCCCCACAAAAGCAAATGAGTTGAAACAATAAGAAAATGCGAATCAGTGTAAAACAGTAATAGCAGTGGATTGCATTGCTTAAAAGAGGAACCCCAACTAGTTGATACATTATTCTTTATTTGATAAACATTTACTTCAAATGTAAAACAAAGATTGTAGCCTGTTTAGTTTTTATTTATTTAAAAAAATACAGTATATATTGTCACACAGACGTGCCATTTTAATTATGCCACAAAGCATACCGGGTAAATACATTATTCTTTATTTGATAAACATTTACTTCAAATGTAAAACAAAGATTGTAGCCTGTTTAGTTTTTATTTATTAAAAAATACAGTATATATTGTCACACAGACGTGCCATTTTAATTATGCCACAAAGCATACCGGGTAAATAAAGATGTTGTCAGCACCTGACCACACACACACACCCATATGAAT